ATGGAGCAATATTCTATCCATGGTGTACCAGAAAAAAATGTCATCTTTCTAAATGGATGAGTATGAATGGTGCTTCCCTGTCTTTAAAGGAGTAAATTATTCATATAAAATAAATCTCACATTTTAAGTTTGTGTGGAAAATAGATTCCAACGTGGTCTGATAAAGTTCAGATAAGGGGCATTCTGTTCCTAAGAATGTCCTAAAAATGGAAAACTGATAGAAGATGATAATGCTTGGAGTTGTGCAGGAAAAAAGGAAGACCTAAACAGTTATTCCTGTGTCTTTTTTTGATCCCACAGAGTATTAGTTATTACACTTCTTTTCTAGACTATTTTTATAAACCTCCTCAAGGGCCAAAATAAAATAGTGGGAAATATTTTGAAAAACTTCTTTTATAGCAATTTAATGTAGAAGCTGTTTATTCTTTGATTGAGGTTTCCCATTTCCATTTTTAAGCTTATCTGAACTGTGAACATGATAAACTAATGATTCATTGGTCAAGAAGCTACCATCTGAGGGCTCTAAAGTTTCTTTTCGATCTCTTTTTTTTCCAGTACATTTAAATTTTGATTTATCAGATACAGCAGCTTCTTCCCATTGTTACCTGTTGATCAGCTCACTTACAAATATGAAACCCGCGCACCTACATACATTAATTAAAATCTAGTACATGAGATTCTCCCTTTAAAAAATTTAGAGTATCTTGTTTTTATGTTATTTAGTACTTGCTTAAATCTTTTTAAGGAACGTTTAGTATCAAACAAAATTAAAGCTGTATCTGTTTTCTTCATAGCTTAGTTTTACATTGGACTGCTATTTTTTGACAAGGAATGCCAAATGAAAATTTTAACGTCTGCAAATTAGGATTAAAATTTTTAACCTTGTTTTCATAGTTAACTAACTGTAGATGGCACTAAAATCACTGTGAACTTGTGATTGAAAGAAAATTTTCTGCTTTTAGTTTGAAATTTACTTCTGAAAGTGAGTTTTCAGTTAAAAGCAATCTTGGAAGTAAAATTTTGCACTCCCAACAAATCCTTCTCTCTCTTTTTTTTTAAAGAAGTTTTTGTGCATGTGCTTTTTTCACATGGGCTAAAAGTACCAATTCCTTATGGGTTGCAGGATAAAATAAAACTAACGTTCACCTTTCTAAACAAAATGTTTCCTTGCTTTTATGAAAAGGATAAGTAAAATGGAGACAGTGGCCCATGAAGGAAAAATCTTTGAAAATCTGTCTTTGTCTTGCAAGCCCAAATCCTTCTGGTGTTGGAAGTAGTAAAAAAGCATAATGTATCATCTTCAGGTTGTGTAGATGATCACAGATAATTGCTGTGAAAGCTGAGGTTCCGAGGGCTGACGGTCACGGAGCTGTCTGCTGACTTCCCAGGGTGCTCCTGCATTGCTCCTCCTCCTGCACTCTCCCCATGGCACCTTGAGCAGCAGTTCTGGAGTCTGAAAAAGGAAGGCTAGTGTAAGAATGATCATAAAATGCCGAGAACTGCCTTTAGAGTTCCAGTTTTATAGGCTATTAAGGACTTTCAGCATATCCTTGCAAAGTTGTATTTGTAGTTTATGTTTTAAGTCTGTTACTTCGTAATTCCTAAGGAGTAAATTTGGTGTTATTAGTGTGGGTACTTAAGCAAAATGTTCCTCAAGAATTCTTGTGCTTTGTGCAACAACTATTGTCTTCATTACTTGAACATTTAAAATCTCCCCTTCCTAAGGCATACACCATTTTATTAAGTATAATTTTGCTTATATTTGGGTGGAAAAATTATGTGTATGATGAAAACCAGATTTTTCTTCTATGAAGCTTTTTTTTTTTTTGCAGTAACTGCTTATATCTACTACTCTGTTAGTCACAGTGATCTTGCTTTTGAGGGCCTAGATAGAAGAAAACTAATTGCATTTGGAATAGTACTGCTCAAGAAGCATGAAAGAAGTGATATATGGCACTATTTCCATGAATCACTGAGGGAGTAATGACTTGTTGACACTAAGATATTTTTGAAGGAATTCAAAGGCCTGCGACCAAAGTAGTAACCAGGTTAACTCAGCATTTAGTATTTTGTCCTTTTTATTATTATTAATTTTTTTTAGGCCAAAGATTGGGAAGTAACCACAATGAAAGCTATAGGATTATAAATTCTTAGACTTGGAAAGGATTTAGAGATCATACTCTACAGTCTTTTCATTTTATAGGTAATGCTAAACAAGGAAGAAAAGACATATGAAGTCCAGGTTTTAGAAATTTTACTCATGATCTTGAGAAATTGATAGCTAGAAAGAGAATGCTGCACACTGTAAGCAGCATGGTTTTATTAACTGCTTTTCTCTGAGTTTATTTTAATTTTAATAAATTTTAGAAGAATCAGGCATTTCTGGAAAATAAAATGACATGCAGGAAAACATTTTTCTTTTCCTTTGACTGTCTGTAACAACTGTCTGTAATTTTCTGGCTCTGATTTTCATTGTCTTAATTTTCATTTGTTAAAAGATAAAGAAGCTATTGCATAAAGTAATTGTTAAAAGGATTAGGAAATTTATAGCTTTATGTTAAATAAATGTTCTCCTGGGTTAGAGCACTAACCTAGCTATCAGGAACCTTGGTTCTAGTCTTATTTACTATATACCTTGAGTTAGTTTTGTTTTTCCTTATCTGTGTGTAAAGAATCTACCCCACTTTCAAAGATAAACATTTTGGTGTGAAAATGCAGACATAAAAGGAAGAAAGTGTTTGCAGGTTGATCCTAAGTTGCTGAATATGTGGAATGATTTATATGCAAATATTGTCTTACCTTAAGAAATAATTGTAATTGCTTAATTTTCATCAGTCTGAAAGGTGATTGCAAAGCAGCTTTGGCTCATCTTACCTAAATCAGCTGCAGTCTCTTCATCAGCTACTATTAGAACATGGGAGTGGCGGTTGCAGTCATCCCCCTTGGCTTAGTCTGTGCAGCCTTATGTCACAACCAGGGAGTAGAAAGACCTGCAGAACCCTGGAGAGCAGGCTTTATCATTAGCCACTGTCAGTGGTCATGATAACTATAAAAATATAAGAGAACAAGGTAATGTAGAAAAGTCAAACTTTGAACTTTAAGCAAAAAGCATTTGTTATATTTTAACAGTCATAAATAGGACTGTGGGAGGGAAACACAAGATGTTCTAGAATATATTCTTTGTCATTTAAGAATGGCTGCTCACCTGAATGGGAGAGAAGTGCTGGTCATCTCAGAGTAGCAGAGCAAGGGGAGTTGAGGGGTAGTTTGGTTCTAAGGGCTTTATAAAGCTATGTTGTTATTCTGGCTAGCAAAAGTAGATTTGGGTAGAAATGCTTTTTCCCTGCACATATTCATGAATTTGTGTGAGAAGAAATACTACTAAGCATTAATAACCTGAGAAGTTCTGGCTTTTCCTTACTTTTTTTGCAGAGGGTAATACTTTGATATGTTAATTTCAATTTCTTATGAACAGATTTCATGACACTTAACCATAAGCCATATTCTCTGGATATCAGGTGTCTTCCCCTAACATCCAGCCTCTTAATACTACTTAGTGTTTATGTGACATTTGTATTAGCAACCTGGAAGGAATTTTGTATCTAGTAGTTTTTGGTGTGTATGATGTTAACATTAGAACAGAATTTTCAAAAGTTCTTTTATTTTGGTGACTTTAGAGCTCTGTAACAAGACTTGGTTAGTTTCCATTGCCCTTACACAAGCTTTGTCACTCTGTACAGTTTGGTGCCTCTTACATGATGGTGTGATAGTTTCAGAAGTTGAAGGGAAAATTTAAATGTTAAAGGCTACTTTAGACAGAAAAAGATTATCTTTATTTCTTTCCCCCTTACTACTTTACAACTAGAATCACTTTTTTTTTACAACATTCATTGGAAACACCACATTATTTGAAACATACTCTTTTTTGACAGTAATTCATGTATCAATGCCTTTATAAGAAGTTAAAGCTATTTTTAAAATATTTCAAGGTTTAATATGTCCAAAACCCCTATAAAGAATTTTGTGCACTGTATATAATAAGGGTTTTGGTCTGAATAGTAAGTAGTAAGATAAGTTTTAAGTTTAGTAGAGTTAAAATTGGTCAGATGGTGTGTATTTGAACAAAAAATTTTTGTAAGGGGGAAAATCAGAGGTTAGACAGAAAAAGAAAGTAATATGGCCACGAGTTGACAGCATACTTTTTCTTATACTTCATCTCTCTTACCTTTGTATCCTTTGAGAAGATCCTTAAAATTTTAGGTATGCTGCTTAATTATTTTATTATTATTACTATTATTTTCAGTGACTACCACCCGAGAGTGTATGTAATGGCCGTGAACAGGAACTATACTCTAAATATTTGCTCATTAACTCCTGGCAGTGGTCTGTGAGTTCAAAAAAGTTTTCACATGTAGAAACATGAAAAGCTTTTTAACTATTTGAAGTGAATTAGTAAAAAAGTTCCTTGAAATTTTGTTTTGAAGTCTCTTAACTCAGTTCTTCCGTTGAAATTTTAGTTCTCCACAGCTAGTAACTGCTCCTGGGCATTCAGATTTTTATATCTATGTATGTACTCAGGATACATTATTCTCTTTGAGAAAGAAATTAGCTGACTTAGCTAGTTGTACGATTTGTGAAGCGAAATGTAATGTTTTATTTTTAACTGTCATTCACAGTCTAGTTTTAGTATTAGGGACCCGAGCAGATTCCCACTTCAACCACAATGCTTTTTCTTAAGCATAATTCATCTCTACATACATATCCTATGTGAAAGAAAATTTAGAGCCCTCCATTTTAAAAAGCTTTCTTGCTTTGCATAAAACTTGAAAGTATTTAAACTCAAAGTTATATTGATATTAAAACATAGATTCAGTCTTGTCTTAAAAGTGTATTACAATTTATTTCTTGCCATTTTTGTGTAAAATTTACAGAAAGAGTGTTACACCGTGCGCTCCAAAGGTAATGTCTCATTGCTCTAAGGCTCTCTTTTTCTTTCTTTGCCTTTATCTCTTTAATCCTGTTGTTATGTGCATTGAACCATTTTAAGAAAAAAGCTTTTCTGCTTGATCTTTGGCAGCAATACATGTAAAACATGTATGTTTTATTGTTCATAGTTAATCCTGGGAAGTATAATTTTAATTTCAGTGGCTTGTTACCACCAAGTTTCCATGTATCTTGGGAGGTGGGGTAGGTATATTATATATAACGGTTTAGATCTCATTTCAGTACAGAACTATTAATTTCTATATTAGGCCAAAAGCTGCTTTGATAATGGTAAAAAAAATGTAGATTGTTTCTTGGAGTAACAGTGATACTTTTCAGATTCTAGGATTTACAAGGTTTAAATGAACCCTTGTGCATGTATTTTTAAAGTAGATTCAGAGGCGAGAGGAACTGGTAAATCAGGAGAAATGAAAATATGACAGGAGAAAATGAAAATGTGAAAATATTGAAAGCTTTTCTAATTTGAAATGCTCTTTGTGGTTGTTTTTCCTTTAGATATGTTTTCATAAGCATATATAAACTTACATATTTACAGTAGTCTCGGGCCTTACGGTCTTAACTTACTGAGCCTGTGTTACCAGGGCATGAGTCTTTACAACTTATGGTTTTGAAAGATCAGTACAGTTAAGAGTTGTAATGAGATCTCTTTGTTTATTTTAGCAGAATTGAATGGCTTAGACTGAACATATCTTTCTCCTGGTCGTTTTTAAACCTTTTGGCGGTATCCTCTGTTTACCCATGTCTAGTATCAGCCCTGTGCCAGTAAGTCTGCTTCACAGAGGGATTTCTACTCTTAGAATGTAGGCTAAGAACCCTAGGCTTCTTTTTGTTAAGATCCTTTCAGTTTTCTTAATATGTAGTCTAACCCAATTGAAGCATACATTTGTACTTTTGCATCCTAAATTGCAAATGCAAGTAATGGACTTAATTATTCACACCAGTTTAGGCACGGTGGGCCAATTGAAATTTGTCCTTGAAAGAAGTGTTCTTGTCTTCATCTGTTTTCTTCACTACTGCAATAAAGGACCAAGTTTGTCTTCAGTTTTCATTTGATTTAAAACAAAACTTCAATCTGTCAAAAGGTAGTTATTCCATCCTCAAATTGAGTTTTAGGTAGTATGTTACCACATCACTGCAGTTAGCTCACGTGTTTTAATCTCACCATTTGCTCCAGAGGTTTGCCCTAAGGTGGTTTTTACAGACCTCCTCTTAGCCAAGGTGGCAAGTTGAATTGGGTCCCGTGTGTTTTAAGAAAATCTATAGGCTTTCCCCCAATACCAGAAGATCTTACAGTTGTGAAAGGATGAACAAAAGAAGAGGAATACATCTAACCAATAAAGAATTCATTGCTTTCACAGCTGCATGTTTGAGACTGACCTCTTATATTGTAGACCATTTTTACCCATAAAAGTTTTACCTCTTTACATCTTTCATACAGTGGAATCACTGTCTAGCATATGTACTAATTTCTTACTATCTTTATGTGCTTGGTAAAGTTTTGTAATTATGGGAAGCACGTTTTTATCTTAAAGTTATAGTCCAAAGTAGTTTCTGGATGCTAGTGTCATGATTTAAGCATCAGTGCTTCACCAGTTAGCTAGATTTTCTTTTTCTTCTTTCTTTCTTCTGCCTGTATTTATTCATTTTTACTGTTATATTGGCTTAAATTACCACTTCTCAATCTTCTAAGGAAAATTTGAGACTAGTGGTTTTGAAACTCAAGATTCCCTTTAAAATTCGGGCACGTCTTAAGTCGATATTTTAATTTTTTTCAGCTAAATTCTGTGGTGCTCTTACAGAACTGAATATTCTTAATTTAAGTATAAGTGTTAGACTTCCTGGTAGAATAATGATTTTTAGCATTCTTGTGAAGGTTGAAATTGTATTTTATTGACTTACATATCTTAGAATTGCCTTCAAAGAGTATAAAAATTGATGTGGAAGCTTCTAGTACAGATGCCTGCTTTAACATGGCGTGGTAATCCAGTGGCTTTTCTCTCAAGTGTTATTTCTCTTTCTTATAAACTAAGTTGTTTATGATACACACTTTTGAGTCTAGTTATCTGCTTTTGAATTTTTTTCCACTTTAGTTCGCATAGTGTGAAAATGTGTGAAAATGCTGTGGGAAAACCAGCTTGGCTTCAAAATAACTTAACCAAATGTACCCCATAGGCTTTTCAAGAGTCACTATCTGCCAGTTTGTGACTGTAGAAGAAGCTGGTTAGGTGTTTTCTGGACCTTGGAAATTTAAAGTATTTATAATGTTATCCATGATTAATTACTTTGCTGTCAGAAGTGCATTTTCAGAGTTGCTGTGAGTGGCAGAGCTTCACCTTAGGTGAAGGAAGAGTGGCAGGAAGTTCTGAAAACAGGAATCCTGAGTCCTACCTGCATCTGCTTGCCTAAAAGACGCAGACTCGGTGTGAAAAATAACAAGTAGACTCATTTATAAGTGTGTGGGGCAAGTGTTAAGTATTGATCACACTTTTCTTTCCGTAGGGCAAATACTAGGTGTTTTTTATTCTTGTTTAATTATCTTGATAAATTTTGAGTTTGTTTTTGTTGTTATTGTTCTTTTGTATTTGAGAGTAACTTTAATTTCAATGTATATTTTTGCTGTATATTGCAAATCTATTTCATATATGTGTATACATATGTAGTCTTCATATTGGAGAACTAGATATGATTTTGTAATCCATTATAATCTTGAGGGCTTTTTAAATTAGTAAAATGGCTACTATTGCTGTTTGAAGCATATTAAGTTTAGATGTATATCATGTTTAACTTTTTCCCCTATCTTTTTATCTTTACCTCTTTGTTTTCTACATGTTGTGCTTTAAACCCTTCTGCTCTGTTCACCTGAACACCTGGTTTTTGCCATCTTTGTGTTGGTGTTTGTTACACAGTACCACAAAACCTGCTCCACACCTGGATGGGTAAGAGTTAACATTCTTATTACCTCGGGGACGTGTTCGGGTGGCCAGTCCAAGACAGATAAGACCATGGGTGAACCTTCAAGGGGGACACTCTTCATCTCTGGGTTATTCTCTCCTAGCCAAGCTCTTCCTAAGGATCACAGGGTGCAGTAGTCTTGAGACCACTCATGTTACTGAAGGGGTCTTCACTCACAGATGGACTTCTCAGCTGTGTTCTCCTGAGTGATCTTGTATGGGTGGTTTCTGAGCATCAAGTACAAACTGATTGCTACCAGACTCTACCATAAAATAGTTAAGAACCATTGTTTTAAAGGCAGAAAACCAAGGCCCATTTTGAGCATTTTTTTTTTTCTTTTATGAAGCAAATTTCAAGTTCTGATTCCCTCTACTTGTTTCAGACATCAGGCACTTTACTTTTATTATCAGGTCTATGGAAATGTCGTTTATAACAGGTATCTTGATTATTGCTCACAGCTTAATTGTTGTCAAACCAATTTTTTCTTGAATTTGTATTGTAACAGGGTGCATGTTGTCTTTGGACTAGTTATTTCTGGTTTTGAAGTAATCGAACAAATTGAAAATCTGAAAACGGATGCTGCAAGTAGACCTTATGCAGACGTGCGAGTTATTGACTGTGGGGTGCTTGCCACAAAATCAGCGAAAGAGGGTAAGAGTGTTTTGGGGGATGAGGGAGCTAGGATACAAGTGACACTTACTGAGGACAATAACTTAAAGATACAGCCTAGATTTCAGTAGAGGAAAAATTCCTTTGGGTGTATAACTAGCCCTGATGTTGCTATATGATATTCTATAGCCAGTCCATGAGCAAGTGTTTGCAAATCTGACCTTTTGTTTTTACTTCCCCTGCTATCAGCCTGGTCCAAACCCTAGTATCTTTTACCTGGATTATTGCAATAGCCTCATTACTCTTCAGTTTGCCTCTGACCTTGCTCCTCTATAATCTTTTTTCAACAATGGTCTCCTTGCTTATACTCTTGGTCCCTACTGTCTGTCCTTAGCAGCAACCAGAGCCATCATCTCCAGGGGCTCCCTCTCTGTCAGCCGAAGCTGAAGTCTTTACAGTGGTCCGTAAGGGGTTCTGGCTTTCTGCTGTTTCTCTAACCTCTTCCCCCTCATTCACTGTCTTCCCAGCCATGTTGACTTTTACTCAGATAAGCCAAGCACTCAGGGACTTTGTGCTGGCTCTCTTCTGTGTGGGACACTCTTGTTTCAGATAGCTGCATGACCCCTCCCTCACTTCCTTCAGGTTGCTGCTCAAGTGTTATCTTAAATCACCTTGACTCTCCCCATTCCCTTTATCCTGCCTCTTTTTCCCTTTCTTGTTTGAGCACTTACCATTTGTCATATTGTGTAGTTACTTACTTTCGTATCTGACCCAACTAGATTATAGACTTCATGAGAGCTTTGTTACCTCACAATCTCATCAGCAAATTATATTATCAACTTGAAAAAAAGTTTATTTAAATTTTGTTTTTAATTTGCTTTATGAAAGGCACACTTTACAATACTCAGTAATTGTTTTTTACTCTGAGAGGTAGGCACAGAAATCCAGTACTAATATTTTTGTTAATATTTCTTAAAAGTTTTTGAGAAAAAAAGGAAGAAACCAACTCATTCAGAAGTCTCGGACTCCTCTTCCAATTCTTCTTCCTCTTCCGACTCATCCTCAGAGAGTGAGACTGAGCAAGAGAGAAGCAGAAGAAGGAAACATAAGAGGAGGCCCAAAGTTAAACGTTCTAAAAAGAGACGAAAGGAAGCAAGCAGTTCAGAAGAGCCAAGGAATAAACATATTATAATGAGTCCAAAAGGGTAAGTGTCAAACACCAGGGTCGTCTTACCTAAAAAATCAAACAGCTTGGCATGGGGAAGGTATGTGTGATTCTGTAAACTTACCTTTGTTAACTGTTGTTGAAAAGGATAGCACTTCGTGGACTTTAAATTGAAATCTCGCTAATCTGAAGGTAGCACAGACATTTCATATCAAAGATTTATGTGTTTGCAGGTGAAAATAATTCCTGAAACTCTTAAAAGAAAAAGGATCATTTGGCAATTCTCATATCAGAATTTTAGTACTGGGGCTTTTTCAGTGGGTTGATGTTGCATATGTTGTCTTTATGGAAACTGAAAATCTTTTGAGTGAGATTTGTAAGGTCTTTGGTTTTGCTGTTAATATTAATTACATTATTATTATTATTATTTAATATTACTATAAAATGCAGATGGTACACATCTTAATTGGTGATTTGGTTTGTTCTCTCTAAGTCATTCTGAGAGGAGTGATACCAATGAAAAAAGGTCAGTTGATTCAAATGCTAAAAGGGAAAAGCCTGTGGTCCGGCCAGAAGAAATTCCTCCAGTGCCAGAGAACCGATTTTTACTGAGAAGAGATATGCCTCTTGTCACCGTGGAGCCTGAACCGTAAGGATGATTAACCTACATGTTTTTGTTTCTCTGTTGGATGATTCCATCAGCTTATTGTAGTTCCATACTCATTTATTGAGCATGACTCAGATACCAGATTAATGAATGACTTGTACCCTGACTTTCAGAATTCATATTCTATTAGTAGAGAAAGGGGGTTTGGCAAGTTGATCAGGGAGACGTTCTTACTGGAGGTCTGGAAAGATTTCATTACTAATCTAATTTCCTTGGCCTTTCATTAGAGGTGAGATTTTGGTTTTCAGAACAGAGGGTTAGTTGATCTCTGGATCCAATCGAGTGATAAAACATGTTCCAATTTACAGTGTAGAATTACTGCATGGGGACTGGGGATATAATTTAATATCATTTGTTACTGTTGTTAATTTGCTCTGCGATAACTTGTTTATATTGCGAAAGCTAATGGGTAGCTTTAGACTTGGTCTCAAAAAATAGTAATTAGTGTATTTTGTGTTTTAGACTCAAGTTTAGAATTGTTAAGAGAAATTTGTGAACAGAAATACCATTATATGGTTGGTATAATTGATATTTCCTATGAAGAGTTATGTTGAAGCCTGAGAAGTTATACAAATGTCCCTGTTCACAGTCAAGTCTCTACATAAAGTTATTGCTTAGTTCATTAAATATTTTAAAGTCCTGTATTGTCTCTTTTTTTTTAATTTTTTATTGATTTATAAT